CTGCTCAGCAGGGAGTCTGCTTCTCCCTCTGACCATCCTCCCTCTCATGCTCTCTGTCTCTCATTCTCTCTCTCGCAAATAAATAAAATCTTAAAAAAAAAAACTAATAACAGATATTATTTTGTAGAACAAAGCTCCTTTGAACAGTTCAAAATGCTCCAATTTCGGGAATTTGTTAAAAGTGCAGTCAAATGAAAGTACTTAGTCCTCTCAGAAATTAAACTTTATGTTACAAAAAGGGTCTTCGCTGTTCTCAAAATCACCAGGTGATTATAGGATGAGAAAATTTCCATTAGCCATCAAATGTAGCAATTGAAGAAAAGGGTCCAAAAGAATAACAAAGAGGATGCTTTATCACAGGCATGATCTACAGAAGAAGTAACTGTCACTAAGGTGTAAAAAAAGGTTCATCACTGAAAAACATTAACCGTTGTGTTAATGATAAAGGGCTTAAGCACATACAATACAAAGAGCTAGCAGGAACAAGAGGATAAGTGTATAAGGGCAATTGTACCTCCTTGGCAAGGCCTAAAAACGTCCCCTACTTACGTGAAACAGGTGTTCACTTATTACATGGAAAATGTTTTTTGACTTTCACAACTCTTTGAACAAATCAACACATGTTATGAATTTTCAAACATAGGATGGGTAACTTTTTTTATTCTTTGTTTTGTTTTGTTTTTGTTTCTTTGCTTTTTAACGGTGCCTCTCAGCAACTATCTGTAGTTAGGAAAGGAAACTCCCAAACTTGGACTACCGGACACCACATACTCTTGAGCAAATTCATAGAAAGTCCAGGGTTAAGAAATCTCAGTCTTCTCTCAGCGCTAAATATGAGGTGTGCTGATCAAAACATGTGACCTCAGTGTACTTCAATCAACCTACTTGCTGTGGCCACCAGACCAAATACCCATCATAGCAGTCACCACCTTGGCCATCTCCCATGACTCTCCAATGCCAACAGAATGAAATCCTAAAACATTGTCCTGATATTGAAAGCCCTGGATGGCCAGGCCTCTGAACCAACTTATTCCAACTTTACCACTCCATACTCTCCTTGACAGAGGACGGCTCCCTCACTTGTCACATCCTTCCTAGTTCCTATATCATTACAAAGAAATTCTATGAGAAATATATGTCAGACCTAATCTGACTGAGGTAAAGGTGCTGATAAAGACCTCAGCAGAGACATAATATGGAAACCACCTATCATGTTGACACCACTGCTCAATTCAACAAGAGTTTCTGGGAAAGCCTTAAACAACTAAAAAATTCCTTATTTGTTGCCTCACCAGGCTGATCAAGGACAGACTGTCCCTAAAGATGACTCTGCAAGCTGCCAACTGATCAGTTTACCCAAAAAATGTATAAGCAAGGTCCACTGTCTATTCTCTGCAATGTTTTCTCCTTCACTATTGGAAGACAATTTCTTGGGTACAGAATTCTAGGTTAGTATTTTTTTTTTCCTCTTAACACTTTAAATACTATACTCTCTTCCTGACTACATGATTCCCGAGAAGTTGGATGTAATTCTTTTTTTTTTTTTTTAAAAGTTTTTTTTTTTTATTTGAGAGAGAATGAGAGAGAGAGAGAGAGAGAGAGAGCACATGAGAGGGGGGAGGGTCAGAGGGAGAAGCAGACTCCCTGCCGAGCAGGGAGCCCGACACGGGACTCGATCCCGGGACTCCAGGATCATGACCTGAGCCGAAGGCAGTCGCTTAACCAACTGAGCCACCCAGGCGCCCCAGTTGGATGTAATTCTTACCTCAGCTCCTCTATAAGTAAGGCGTTTTTCCCCCTTTGGCTTCTTTCAAGATTCTTTCTTTATATTTGATTTTCTGCAATTTGAACATAGTATTCCCAGCTATAAAGTTTTTTTGGCGTTTATCCTGCTTGGTATTCCCTGATCTTCCTGGATCTGTGGTTTGATGTCTGACATTAATTTGGGGAAATTTTCATCTATTACTATGCCAAAGGAATTGTTATTTAAAGGAGGGGTTTTTCAGAAATACAATTGTGTACTGATATCAACATGGATGGGACTGGAGAAGATTATGCTAAGTGAAATAAGTCAAGCAGAGAAAGTCAATTATCATATGGTTTCACTTATTTGTGGAACATAAGGAATAACATGCAGGACATTAGGAGAAGGAAGGGAAAAATGGGGAGGCGGAATTGGAGGGAGAGATGAACCATGAGAGACTATGGACTCTGAGAAACAAACAGGGTTTTAGAGGGGAGGGGGGAGGGGGGATTGGTTAGCTGGGTGATGGGTATTAAGGAGGGCACGTACTGCATGGAGCACTGGGTGTTATACGAAAACAATGGATCGTGGATCACCACATCAAAAACCAATGATGTATTGTATGGTGACCAACATAACATAATAAAATTAAAAAAAAAAAAAAAGAACTACAATTGTGAACAAATACCATTCTGTGAACAATTTAAAAGCACTAAAAAGCCACTTTCTGTGATACTATAGCCTAATTGTTTCATACTTTAGTGTGTATCAGAATCACATGGAGGGCTTAATAAAACACAGATTGCCAGGTCTCACCCTAAAGAGCTTCTCAATCTACCCTCCACAACACCATTGCACCAAGTTGTGAGGACAGTCATATTTTACCAATGGAGTGAGTCTAAGTAGAATAAGTATCAATGTTGACAGATAAAAATCTGGGGAACTGAGTATTACTTTTTCTTAGTCCAAGTTAATCAAAGTGAAATCTTTCATAGAGCTTCTCCTCATGGATCTCCATAGTTACTAAACCCACAAACTTGTACTCAGGTACATATTCAACGTGGAAAGTGCTTCCTTCTACCTCAGCCATTCAACCCGACTCCTACAATTTGTACCAGAAGGTACAAACTGGCAAGCTAATATATATCCAATTATCTGGAATAGGGTAGAAAAATGTATAAAACCTGAATGTGTCTCAATATTCACTCAGTTTTTTTTTAAAGATTTTATTTATTTATTTATTTGAGAGAGAGAGAGAGCACACGAGAGGGGGGAGGGTCAGAGGGAGAAGCAGACTCCCTGCCGAGCAGGGAGCCCAATGCGGGACTCAATCCTGGGACTCCAGGATCATGACCCGAGCCGAAGGCAGTCGCTTAACCAACTGAGCCACCCAGGCGCCCCTCAATTTTCACTCATTTATATACACAAACATTATTTGATATCTGTTATCTTCTAGGCACGTTTCTCGGCTCTGAACAACAAAACAGACAAGACTGTTCCTGTTAAGAAGCTCACATTCTACTAGAAGAAACAGACTCTCCATTTTATATATATAATTTTGGAAAAATGCTATTGAAAAGAACAGAGCAAGAAAGAGAAAGATGGAAGGATACACTATTTTAGAGGGTACTGGGAAAGCTTCTCATATAAAGTGATATTTGAGCAGGGACTTGAATGAAGTGAGAAATGGAATCATGAAGATAAATAGGAAAATAATAGTCCAAGCAGAAGGTAGCAGAGAAAAATGCAAAAGCTTTGTAAAAGCATAGAACTCTGTTTTTTTAAAAAAGGAAAGAGGCCAGTGCCTGTAATCTATTATATTAAAAAATGCAGCAAACTCTTTGAAATGAACTTGTATATACCCTTTTGTTGGTAAAAATAGAACCATAATAACTTTATAACAAATGAATATACTAATTTTTAATATATGTACATATTTTATACTACTTTGGTTAAAGTGTTACTCCTCAGCAATCTAATAATTTGTACTTTGTTTTTTATATTTTTGAAAGGACCAAATACAATTTTAAAAAAATATGAATCTTAATTGCAGATTCAAGTCAAATTATTTTGATATTATCAGCACATCAATTAGAAGGTACTAAAATATTCCACGTTTACTGTTGTCTAATACCAATATATCAATATATCTGTTTCAATCTTGATGTCACTATGTTTGTTGAAGTAATGCCTTCAAGTTAAGAGCAACCATAATTCAAAGTCTCATTTTACTTATTTATTAAAGATTTTACTTATTTGAGAGAGAGATAGAGAGGGAGGGAGCATGAGCAGTGGGGAGTGGCAGGCAGAGGTAGAAGCAGACTCCCCGCTGAGCAGGGAGCCCGATGCGGGGCTTGATCCCAGGACCCCAGGACCATGACCTGAGCCGAAAGCAGATGTTTAACTGACTGAGCCACCCTGGTGCCCTGAAAGTCTCATTTTAAATCACACTCTTAAATCTTCTTCTTACTTCTAAAGTTTAGATTAAACTCTGAGGGTTCAGTATAGAAAATAAATGTAATGACTTAAACACAACCCCTTCTGAACATAAGAGGTTTGTGTGTACTTGGAAGAGGCGGGCTGAATTGAAGCCACAGAAACAACCAGCACACACACTGTCATCCATCTCACTACAATCAGTGGTTATGATGGAGGAAAAAAATACACTATACTAGCAAATTGGAACTTAAAAAAAAAACAAAAACAAAAAACCGAAGGCTCTAAGGTGGAAATTCATAGAGCCTCATTCCACAAGCACAGAACCAGGGAGTGGCCACCTGAACATTGGAGGTCTCTCTATGAACACCCACTTGTCTCAGTATTTGGACCTAATATGACTGACCTCCCCCAAAATTCATGAAGCATTACTGCATTTAGTGATTTCCAACATGACTGTCACAATGACACATAAGATGTTTTCTAGTCAAATTCCACTTGATATCAACTAAGTACACACAAGGTTTGAGCATGTCACCTAAAATTTAATTCTTTATAGAGCTGAAAATACCAGCAATGATATTAAGACTATCTTTTGTAGAGCATCTCTACATAATTTTTATCACTTACTCTTCAAAATACATTAAAGAAGCATCTTTTATTATTTCCATTTTACATGTTAAGGAAACTGATCTTGGGGAGATGTTAAGATCTCCTTTTTGCAGAAAAGAGTCAGGTCTAGAATCCATGGATTCTGAGTCCAATTCTACATTGTCACACTAAAATTAGTAATAATTTCTTTAAAGAAAAAAATTCTCACCTTGGTGACAGTTTTTCCATATAATATGTCGGGCATTCTCATAATTTGTGTTCATCCAACTAAGCAGAATCCTTTCAGAATTAGAATATATGTTGCTGGATAAAAAACAAGGATTGATTTTTGGTGAATTCTGCACATGTATGGGGGGTAGGTTACTGCTGCAATGTGGTACAACCCGGGATAGTACCAGAACCTGAAATTGGGAAAAAGAGAGAACCTTTATTAGACCTGAATGGCAAAATTAAAAATTAATATTTGAAGAGTAAATAAAGGAAGGCATCAGTATTTTCTGGTCAACTACATCCATATAAGAGTAAAAGAAATCAGAAGACCCCCTACAATAAAAATGAAAGTCAGAGGACATGTAGTAACAACTCACCTATCCAAATCTCAGCTATGTTTGAAATCCTCATGGAGGTGGGCCAGCAAGCACATAATGCATAAGTAAATATTCTGAACTACAATCTGTGAAGTCTCAAAGTCTGTAAGCTAACTTTCTCCCACTTAATTTATAAAAACCTGTCTGTGCACTCTAAGTCAGTGTCTATTTGGTTTTATTTCATAGAAAATTTTTCTAAGTTGGATATCTAGTTTTTTATGTTACAACAAATGACAAGTAATAGGAAAAAATAGGAGAGTAATGAAAAGCAATAGACAATAGTCATATGACAAGAGAATAAAGACACAAACTATTAAAAGCTAAAAAATCCTCCAAATGTCTGTTTATGTTTAAAGAAAATAATATTTTAACAGTAATGATTGGTCTCATAATGAATAAATAGAATAGCAATCAAAAAATGTCATGTACTTCCCCATCAAAAAAACTGAATAACATGTAGATCATGACATGAGGTGAAATTTTAATTTTACTAATCTGTTACAATTTCACAGAATTTTCTAAACTGTGTATAAATCATTCTAGTAAATCTTAACTCAAATGTATCCCAAAAAAGGCACAATTAATTTAAGTAAGAATTAGAAAAAGTCAGATCAGATTTCATTTTTAGAAGCTTACCTTCCTTTTGATCAGATTAAGTGGAAGAATATCACAAACACTGCTCAAACATACCATAAATGTTTATCACCCTAACAAAATTCCTTGCAGTCATTTAAGACTAAATATTATCAAGATCACAAATTTGTTGTAAAGAGAATATAATTTAAGTCCAGGAGTAAGAATTACAAAAACTAATAATTTTTAAAAAGCAGAATAGAGAAAGAAAATTTAAAAAGAAGTATTCAAGCTTGTTCATCAACAGCCCCTACCAAAGAGGACCACCTGGAAGTGATCTGGTGGTGAAGACACAAGCTTCAGTTAGGACAGGAGGTAGAGAGAAAACTCCAAGAGGAGACTGAATCTACAGGGGAGTTTCCTGGTGGTGGAGGGCACAGCAGCAGTCTGACCTCAGCTCTAAGGCACAGCACACATCATCCAAGGGGATCACTACAGGGGTTCCAGGAAACCTGAGATGCACCTGTTCCTGATTTAAAGATAACGCCCTGCAAGCCCAGAGATCTCTTTCCCTTGTCTTCTCACTCCTATTACCCATAGGGGCTCCTGGCTCCTTAATCATCTCTTATCAGATCTCTTTCTTTCTCAGCCTATACACTAGTTTTTCTCAGAAGATACATCATCATTACTTGAAAGAGCAAAGGGATGGCATCCTAAATGAGAGCACTGCAGTGTCCTACCACATGTCCAAAAGTTCTTGCATCTACACTCACTTTTCTTCCTTCTCTATGGCCACAGTGGGTGAGCTATCCCTTCGCTTGCACTAGATACCAAACCTATTCATCCTCTTTGGGACAGTCGTGCATCAGTTGCCTTTTTTTAGCTTTTGGATCTTTAACTTCTCCCTTCTCACCAGTTCCTTTTCAACAATATCAAAACATGCTCACTTACATTCAGCTTTTAGAGAGCTCTCCCAAACTTGGATTCCCCCTGATTCTTTTATCTGTTCCCTCTACCAGTTATAACTCATGAAAGAGTTCTCTACCCTACTATCTCCACTTTTATTCCTTTTGTTCATCAAACTAAAGCCCACCTAATAACGTTTCCCCAATTCCTCACTACCCCCACACCCTGAAGGTGCCTTTGGCATCTTTGTTGTCCAATACAACAGGGAATTTTTCATTGTTATCTTAAGCAACCTCTCCATTTCATTTGATAACACATCCTCCCTCAAAGGCTTTCTTCCCTCCTTGTTCATGACACCATAAAGTGTTACTGCTCTCTTTTTGTCTATTTTGAGCTCATTGCAGGATTCTCTTCCCTTACCTATTTAAATAATGGGTTGCTTCAGTATTGGGTTTCTAACCTATGCCATCTTTTCTTTAAACTTTTTAGGTGTGTTTCTCCCAATTTTATCTCCCAGAGACCACTAAATATGCATTAAGAAACCACAAAGACCACTGATTGCTGTGGTTAAAAAATAAGGATTCAACACAATATTTAGAACATTATGTTGGTAGTAGTAATAAGAATAATTATAGCTTCATATCAGTGAGATGAATGATATAGTTACCATCTTTATCAAGGTATCTACATTTAACCAGATGATGCATGTATTGAGTTCTATATCACTTTATATATTCAGTAATTTCTTTTCTTATTTCTCTCTATTTCCACTAAATTAGAAAAGCCTACTTCATAATTACAGATTAACAGAAGAGATGCTCAGTTTGATTGTTATGGATAGTCAGGCCCAAAACGAAGCCAGAAATTATAGAGGTTTTTTTTATTAAAATATACTTCATCTACTTTCAAATACCAACCAAATGCTAAGCTGGTTGATGAGCAAATCACACTCAAAAGCCAAAGGTAAAAATACTCAACTCGGGAAATAGCATTAAAGATAATAGTACTCTACTCTTCAGTGGCATTCATCTTTGGGAAAATGTGGCTTCCATTGCCAGAAGCAATTAAAAGGTGGCACACTCTCTGAGAAACCGTTATCCTGATTGTACCCTTATTTAAAGTAAAAGCCCCCCCCTTAATTTGTTGAGACACAGCTTCCAATAGTGTCCATAGTCTTAGGGAGCAGCATGTAGGCTGCATTTCAGCTCCCAATCATCAACTCAGCTGTGCAGAAACTACATTACCATATTCAGTTTATCTGTCCATTCAATAATTCAATACATTTTATCATTATTTTTTCTTTTATTATTTTTTTATTAACATATAATGTATTATTTGTTTCAGGGGTACAGGTCTGTGATCCACCAGTCTTACACAATTCACAGCACTCATCGTCAATACATTCTTTTTTCAACAAATCTTGGGAAAAAGCCAAATTTTTGATGCTTCAGTGTTTTGTAGCACATTAAAAATCATGATATTCAAATTCTATAGGTATATGTCCAAGACATGGAAAGCATTACCTGATGGATCATTTGAGCTAGCCACTTCAAAAGATGAAAATGATAAATACAGAAAAACAGTGCTAGGAAGATACTATTTTTAATCTCACTCCTGTTGGAAAAATGCATGTGAGAGTGACCTTCTCTTCATAACCAGCACATCTCAAAATTGGAAATAAAGATCTTGAATTTATAGAGATCACGATGCAATTAGGTAACTCAGTAGCCTTACTTTGATAGTATTTACAATTTTTTCTGTTTAACAATGAATTCACAACAGAAGCATATTTTTAATCACCTGCATTTCTCTATGAATAAAGGTTCATTTGCAACACCCCTTTTCTTGTGACCAATGGCTAATTGTCTATCAATACCAACCACCACCAACTGATTGGTTGTCTACCACCAACTGATTTTCTCCAGGTTACATTACAAATTAATCTTAATGACAAAGAAGCATTCCTCCAAGAGCATGGGCTTTCACTGATAAAAAGAATAAAACATCATCATTTATTTCTTTCTTTCACATATATTTATCACACACATGCAAATGTGTTCATACATTCCCTTATATCCAACCAAAGCATGCAATATTTGCTATCACATGTGAGAATAACTGTTTCCAAGTTGCATGCCACTGACATAATGGGACATCCTGCAAAGCCATGTAATAAAAGAATTTCATGAATTTTACTTTCTTTCCAATCATGTTTTATTGAAGCTCATTTTAAATATTCCTCACCAGGGCACTTTGGTGGCTCAGTCAGTTAAGCATCCGACTCTTGGTTTTGGCTCAGGTTGTGATCTCAGGATCGTGAGATCAAGGCCCATGTCAGGCTCCACACTCATCGTGGAGTCTGCTTGAGTTTCTCCCTCTCCCTCTGCCCCTACCCCCTCCCCACTCTCTCTCTCTCCCTAAAATAAATAATTGAATGAATGAATGAATAATAAATCTATCTTTCAAAATAAATAAAAATAAGTAAATATTCCTCACAAATATGATCCTCTGTCCTGTCTTTGCTCATCTTCTACAGAGGCAGGAAATTCTAAATAATGCATCAGTAGAATTGGTGTCTTGCCTACCTTTAGCAGCAAATATTCCAATTTCATAACAAAGAGATTTTGAATTGGTTTGGGGAAAATGTGTTTAATTAACCAGAAAGATCATTGCTCTTCATTTAAAAATATCAAAATATTTGACACAATTGTGCCACTATTAAAAAAAAAAAAAACTTATGACAGACAGTACGCTGAGAACTAATGAGTAAACAGTTTACCTGAGCTTATTATTCAGATATTTATTATTGATCACCTTTTTCTTGCCTAGATTCTTCAGTAAAAATATCACATTCACCTCTTTCAGCACATACAGACTCATCCTTTATATCCACATGAAAGTCCTATTTATATTTACATTTAAAACAGCATTCTGAATTTGAGTGTTTCTGTTATTGTTTTTCATCTCTCTTGTGCTTCAATGACCCATTTTTTAGCCATCAATACATTTTTGTGAATTGGGAATATAATGCAAGGAAACAGCAACAATTAAACATGCAAATTTAACAAACAAAAATGACCAAATGACACAAAATCAAACTGGGCAAGACAAGCTATATCCTTTATCCAAACTATTAGAGGAACTGACAAAGGTGGTCCTGGAGTGCATGCATGACCTCTAGGAAAAAGAAAATGAAAACCTAAAGGGATATGTGTGAAAATCACCATCTTCTATTTCCAATGTGTGAAACTCACCTCAACATTGCTTGCTTTCACAAGAGAAATTGCCAATCCGCTTCCGATTTAATAGAACTCCTGGAGCTACCCATGCTTTAGACACAATACATGGACAAACATAGCTCTGCAGATGACCTAACAGGCAATCTTACCTATTCCTATGACTTATCATGGAACCAGTGAAGAATCACAAACATGTGCTGTCACCCAGATCTCTTTCCTGACTGAGGGATATACCCACCTGGTAATGACACAGGGCACCATTATACAGCATAACCAAAATTAATTTATTATGCCTTCTTACCCTATCTCATCCTGCACCCCCAACAAAATCTTATTATCATCCCTTGTCTTGTTATTTCAGTGACTGGGATCAAATTCCATTCAGTCATCCCAGCAAGACCCACTGTCATCTTTTAGCTCTTTGTCTCCTTCACCCACTGAGATCTAGTCATTCACCAAGTCCTTCTGAGTTCTATTCCTAATATTTAGGAAAGCTGCCCCTTTCTAATCTTTCCCACTACCACCAGTATTCCCGGCACCAGGCACTTAAATACCTCTCCAAACAGTTTCCACGTTGTACCAGCGTGATTTCTCTAGGATGCAAAGCTAGTTATGTCAGTTTCATGTTTAAAATCCTTCAGGAACTCTGTACTGACCCTGGGCTAAAGTCCATAAAGTCCAGATTCCTTGGTATGGCTTATGAAGTAAACCATGTTCTATTTTGTGACTGGGATCACAATCCACCCCTCCTACCCCCAGCCATAGTGTGCTTCTTCCTCGGAACATAACTTGTTGTTTCTAACCTCAGGCATTTCCACATTGAATCCCTTTTGTCTTGACAAATGTTATTGTCTTGCTCCCCAATAAAACTAATCTACCACCTCCTTCTCACAAATTGTACTCTCCCTCTCTCTCTCTCTCTCTTTAGCCTATGCTCCACTTACTGCTTCACCTTGCCTGGAAAATTCCTAGTTATTTCTCAGGGTCAGGTTAAATTGATTTTCTTCCTGGAAACCTTCCCCAAGGCACAGGTAAGGTAGGATCCTCTCTGTGTGCACTCACCCTTAGTTCTTTGGGCTTACCTTAACATAGCATTTGTCATAGTTCCTTGTAATTATATATAAATAGTTACTTATATACTTCAGGACACAAAATCATGGAAGAGAAAGACTCTATCAAGTTTACTCTTAAACCCCCAGAGCCTAGTACAAGTGCCTACACCAAAATAGTTGTTAAGTAAATTTATTCAACAAGTATTTGTTGAGCATATACTATGTAGCTGACACACTATCAAATTCTGAGTTTACGGGGCACCTGGGTGGCTCAGTTAAGCATCTGCCTTCAGCTCAGGTCATGATCCCAGGGTCCTGGGATCGAGCCCCACATCGGGTTCCCTGCTCTGCGGGAGGCCTGCTTCTCCCTCTCCCACTCCCCCTGCTTGTGTTCCCCCTCTCGCTGTTTCTCTCTCTGTCAAATAAATAAATAAACAAAATCTTTTAAAAAAAAATTCTGAGTTTACAAGTAATACTTGGTTTTTAAATTCATAGACTCATAAATTGGGAAAGAGAGATTAGATGACGTAAACATATTCATCAATGCATGCATGAATGAATAAATGAATGAGTGACTAAAGCCCACAAACCAAAATTAGGTCTAGTTTGTCCATTAAGTAGGGCATTTTCTGCCCTTCTGTTTTAGAGTTGCTCCTCCCTATCAGTGGCCAAAATTATAGATGATGCAGCCTGGAGTTAAGAAAGAAAAGAAGAAAATGTCTTTTCCCAAATCTAAGTTTGGCTGAGAGTCACGAATACCCTCATACATTCTTGAGGGAATTACTCAAGAAAAAACAGGATTTCTCTCCCTTGACATCTGGCAAAAAAAAAAGGCAGGGCAGGCTGATGGAAGAAGAGGAAAGAAGGAGTAAGTAGGAATCATGCAGTAGAAAGAACTCTCTAGAGGGTAGGATTGGTAGCTGGCTGCAGTGGAGGCTTTAGGCTACCAGAGAGCAGGAAGGGGGCCTTGGGCTTCTGGGCCCCAGCAGAGAACAAGGAAGAGATAAGCTTTATCTACATCAGATGGTTTTATATGGCTAAAATCAGATGATCTGGGGAGACACAATGCACGCCTGTGGACCTTTATTTCCTCATGTCTAAGCAGGAGATTACTGCTTGTGAAGATTAAACAAGCTACATCTAAAAAGCCTCTCGTGGTGAAGAGTCTGACATAAACTACACACTGTTTAGTTACTAACTTTGTCCTTTCCTTTCAGTGACTAATTGCTACTTTTCTTTAACTTCTCCTTCATTTTCACTCTCTTGTCCCACAGCTCACCCTACCTGTGCTTTCAACCTGTGAAAACAGAGCAAAAGCCTCCACAGGTCTTAGTGGGGAAGATCTGTAGTGCCACATTTGGAACCCTAGGGAATAAGTCTCAGGACTGAAACCAGCACTTTTTTATGCAATAAAGGGGCAGGATGTGAAGGCATAATTTATGCTGTGTTAATCTACCTACACATGCAATTTGGCATGGAATAAACTGGAGAGTTTCATCAAAACTTGGTCTCGCCTACTGGTATATGATTCCTAGTGAATATCTCTCCAGAATAACATTTATAGCAAGAGTGTAGTATGTAGTACAGGTAGAAGGCACAATTTTCACTATCATCCATTCTTTAATCCTTCCTTTTAGTACCAGAATACGACTGTACGTACCTATTTTAGGGACTACATTTCTCAATATCCCCTGCCGTGAGGTACAATCATATGACTAAACTCTGCCCAAAGGAAATGATGCATTTTTTAGGTGACATCCTTAAACAGTTTTTACTTTTCCTCCACTAGTCCCTGATGTGTTCTTCCTTGTTCTGAGAAACCGTCCCAGAGATGAAAGCCCAGGACTGAGGGTGGAAGACCCCCACTGTCTCTAAACCACTTATTTCTCAACAGTTCCCTGAGAAAGAAAAAAAAAAGACCTCTATCTTATTTGTGCCACTGAATTTTTTAATTCTTTAATCAGCAGCATCAGCTATACCTTAACTTAGACACCATTCAGGTAAAGAAACCGAAACAAGCAGCAGTGAGCGAGAGTGGAAATGTTACCTTGTATATCTGAAGCAATACATCCGTCCATGCCCGCTTACTCCAGCCTTCAAACTGAGTCCTATCTATAACAACAGAGTGCTTTTCCTTAGGTATACGGGAACATGCAGGCAAGGTATTAGTGAAAGAATTTAAGAAATAAAATATTACAACATTAGTTCAAATGCAAGGCAAATATAAGTTCAAAGTTTTAACTACTTAGCATATAAGGTTTTTTTCTTTTTCTTTTTACAAACTTTTACATGCCCTATCTATATGTTCATCAAGATCACTAATTCCCCATGTGCCAGTAATAGAAACTATCAACAGAGGTAACTTTCTGGAACACATAGCCCCTTACTGAGGTCACAGATTTATTCATTCAATGTACCTACTAGCTTATTCTGTGGCAGAAGTGGCAGAATGAGATGCAAATTATTCGGAACTCTGAGTCCCAGAAAGAAACACATCCTTTGGATGAGCCACTGGAACTCAGCAGAGTATCAAAGGACAGGCCCCTGGGGGGCGCCTGGGTGGCTCAGTTGGTTGAGGAGTTCCTATTTTGAGGACTCTTGATTTTGGCTCAGGTCATGATCTCGCAGTTATGGGGTCGAGGCCCATGTCAGGCTCCACACTCAGCGGAGAGTCTGCTTGAGATTCTCTCTCTCCCTCTCCCTCTGCCCCTCTCCCCATTCTTGCACGCGCATGTTCCCTCTCTCTCTCTCACAAATAAATAAATCTTAAAAAAAAAAAAAAAAAAGGACAAGCCCCTGGTTCTCCTGTTCACGTCATGTGGGGAGTATAGTAGCAGAGCCATGACGATAGTAGTTGCCTCAAAGCCTGAAGGCTTCTCCAAGCAATTCCCCTTCTCAATGGGTTTCCATAAAATAAACTGTATACTTTGAAAAAAACTAGACATATCTTGTTTAATTTCTGCCTACTCTCCCCTTTAACTAAAGAAGGGAAGTGGCAAGTGGTGGGAAAATTAAACCAATATTTTCCTTGGCAGATACATATTCTAAAAATTTATTTTAAGAAAACATTTACAAAAGCACACAGAATTCTTCATTTCTAGATCCCCTAAAAGAAGCAATTACTTATATATTTAAGAAAGCCATGTAATAATTTCTACATAGCATAGAGGCCAAGGGCAGGCTGCCCCAAGATGGGTCACTTTGGCACAAAGATTGAGTTTGAAGGGGTTTGGGACAGTTCCCCCCAAAAGATGCCACTTTGGCATGTGGACTATTTTCAGCTGAAGGCGACTGAGACCTGCTAGGCAAAAGAGAAACTTCTGCCCATCCCTTAACTCACAGAAGAATCTAAATTGGTTGGCAGGGGGGGGTCTTTCCCAGAATAAGCTTTATTAGGAGAGATAAATTTTATCTGAGTGACCCATCTGTATAGCAGGGCAAACATCTAATTACCAAACATCTGCTCTTAGTACTCTATGAGGTGTATTCCTTCCCTTTGAAGTCCCAGACTCCCACCCCTTCTCCTTAGTTCAGAATGACATAAATACCTCATTTCACCTGACTGTCTTTGGAATTTCCAGGTCTGTGTGGAGTCCCCTTACATATGCTATTAAATTTGATTTTCTCCTGTTAATCTGTCTCATGTCAATTGGATTCTTAGTCTAGCTAGAAGGACCTTGAAGCGGACAGGATATTCTTGCTCCCCAACAATAGGAACTCCACAAAGATTTTTAGACAGATATAAAAATGTGTGTGTATGTCTCTGTGTGTATATATATAAATATCTACATATATGTATATATACACATTGAAATATTTATACACACACATATAAATAAACTGTCCAGAGAGGCATAATCCATAGGACATTTCATAAATAAAAATATCAAGATTTTATAATGAAATCTTCTAACAGTGACCAAAGACCAGTCAATTCAATAACTATGCAGATTGTTCCCTAGAAATTATATTCCCTTACTGTAATTTCAATCCACTTTTTATAATCTTCTGGTTCAAGCAGAAATTCTGGCAGCACATGAGAAATACATGCTCCTTGAGCGCTAAAATCAAAAAAGAAAAATCCAGATTATTATAGTATAATACAGTTTGTATATCACCTGCATTTGAACTTCAATTAAATTATTTCAATATCATAGTTTATATGTGTATTGAATTTTATTGTTTAAATTTAAAATTTATATAATTAGCTTTAATATTTCCCTTAACAATGAAATGTGCATATGATGTTTCCTTTAGAGAATTAATAATGAGAAAGAACTTACTAAGTGCCTACAATCAGCCACATCTATCCTTATATGATAACGGAATATAGAGAGTTATATGACTTGGCTAACCATTTTATTGTTGTATAACATAAAATTGAAAAATATCTGGAAAAACTTTGAATACAATAAAGCATCAAACAGATCATTAGTTACCCAATGCTCAGTGAATGCCTATCACAACACATACCTGAATATAGAAAACCCCCCATATAACATAATCCATCACCTATTTTTCCAGAGAATATCCAAAAATTCTGGCCTCTGTGATTATATAAACTTATAGTAGTATATCTGATGCGGGACATATGTATTTATGTTATTTTATACATTTAAAAGCATATATATTCATATGTATATGATTTATCACATTCAAGATGATATTTTTTGTTGTCATATTCCTTGAAATGTTTATTAAAGATTTATTTATTTGAGAGAGAGAGAGAGCAAGTGGGGGGTGAGAGGAAAGAGAGGACGAAGGAGAGAGAGAGTCTTAAGCAGGCTCCATGCTGAGTGTAGAACCTGATGCGGGACTCAATCTCACAACCCTGAGATCATGACCTGAGTCGAAATCAAGAATCAGTTGCTCAACTGACTGAGCCACCCAGGCACCCCTTGAAATATTTTCATTCAAACTCTTCATATGCACGTCTATCACCATCAGAACTACTTTCACACAGTTTAACACAAGTTTTGGCAGGACTGTTTCCTAGCGGAGATTTAAACATTTAGGTCGAACTCATTTAGCAAGCATAGAATGCCACCCACCATAAGCATTTATCAGAGAATATCATATCTAGTACTCTACTCTGTAGCCATTTTGCAGTCCTATCACTACTGAAAAGTGAGAAAAAGAAAAGGCAGAAAGGAATCTCAAGATGAAAGCTCAAACCTTGAAGGTAGCATAATGAATGAGAAAAAAGAAGTGAAGAGAACCCTTGCAGGGGTAGAAGCAGAGAGCAGAGTTCTAGAATTGTTAAGTTTGACCTGGCCATGGGCCAGTGGAAGCTGGTGGAAGAAATCATGCTGCATACATAAAGCTCTTTCGTTTTAGTCAAACATTAATGATCCCTTCTCTTTGATTTTCATGCATTTCCCAACTGCATCTACATTACTCCTATGAATCTTCACTAGACTGGAATTATTATAGATTTAAATAACATCTAATTTTAATGGAACACTACTCCCTTACAGGAGTAGCTGACTTAAAGCATACATAAGAACTCAGATGAGATGATGATCCATTAAGTTGAAATCCTAGAGGTAAAACAAAGACAGACAGCTCAGAGACATATATAGAAACTAGAATACTTCCTTGCATCCAAAGCAAATATGGGATTTCAGAAGGAAATAATCACTTCTATTAAATGCTACTAAAAGCCTAAGAAAAATTATCAGGGAAGCATTAAACTGAAAGCTTCCTGAAGAAGGAGACCACATGGTATTCATTTGAGTATGCCATAGAGCCCAGCAGAGAATAGGCCCTCAGTAAAATGTTGAGGATGAAGAATGAATTTTTTTGCATTATTAAAGACAACAGGCCCCAAATGGAGTCACTTATGCTTAGCTCCATGTCACCAAAGTGAGATTTAACTTCATTATGATTTTGGCTCTCCCAGAAATGGAATCTTAAACCAGTTAATCAGGAATCGCTTGAGCAGCATTAGTTTAGGTAATCTGCCTGACAGAACCCTACCATCCCTCCTAGAGAAAGTAACTTTGCAATAACCAATCTGCTTTTGTGCTGTAGGAGTAGAAAACTTTTCCCTCCTTACCTTCTAGGTTTTTTGCTAGTCCAATAATCAAATTGACATAAGACAGATTAAGAGGGGGAAAAAAACTCAGATTTAATTATATACCTATGGGAGCCTCACAAAGACATGAAGACTGAGAGGCAGTCAGGCAGTTGAGGCTAAGGAGAAGGGGGTAGGGGTCTAGATCCTCAAAGGGGAGGAAGACAATTCACAGGAATATGAGAAGAGCAAATGTTTGGTAAACAATCATTTGCCACGCCAGGTAGTTAAGTCTTACTGATATGAAAAGTTCTCTCTGGTAATAGCTCTCTTCCTGGTGCAGGCCCCTGTGTAAATTCTTGTAGGCAGTTAAGGGAGACATAAAAATCTTTTCCAGAGTCTGCTGGGTCTCAATTGCCTTCAGTTCAAAACAATCCCCATGCCAAAGTGGCACATTTTGGGATAGCATATTCTGCTCCCCCTATTGCCTAGGTACAACTTCCTTGTTCTTGCTTCTTTCTGCCTATAAAATCTCTTGCCTTGTACAGCTCTTCCGAGCTTCTTTCTATCTGCTAGATTGGATGCTGCCCAATTCATGAATTGCTGAATAAAACTGATAAGAGATTTAAAATTTACTAAGGTGAATTTTGTTCTTTCACAGCATTTTACAGACACTGTTATCAAGTGAAGGGTAGCAGAATATTCCACTCCAAAATATACCTCTTTGGCACACCAATTATTTTGAGAAACTGCAGAACAGGAGCTCTAAAAACAGAGTAGAAGTCAACCTTTTGTAAGGAAAACATACATTTATAAAGGAAATTTACATTAGAAAAGGGGCCTCCTTAGGGGGCCCTTTAGGAGGGAGGGGTAGAGGGGGGTTAGGTCTCAGCTAAGAAGCTAGGAGGGTACAGGGGAAATTATTTTTCCTCTCCTACATGAGACTTGTTTTCTTCTTTTCATTTTGAATTTATCTCAAGACCTAACTTCATCAGTCCCTAAGACAGTATTTATGATTCTCCTTTGTCAATGTATTTTATATCTGCTCAGTAGTTTTACAGAGTTGAGTTTCCTAATTGATTTAATTACACTTTTACATGCTAGGTTTTCCATTTGCATATTTCTGCCAGGTTTACACTAAGTAGAACAAAATAAAATTAGATGTAATGAGTTATTAAATCCTCAATTTGATCTCCAAAGATTTTTGAATTTCTCATTTATTGCACAAAATCAATATAATTTCACTTGTATAAAAGTCCTTATCCACTGTCATTGAATTCCAATGTAAAAGCTAATAACAATTATGATTACTTTGAATTTAGTACATTTATTTCCATGATAAAACATAAGCATGTATCTTGGATTAATGACCCAAATTTAATAACCATATTGCTACATTCAAATGTTGAGGAATTTTATCATAGCCAACATATCCTGATAGGCATGTATTTCCTATAAAAGAACAACAAATTTGAATGGCTTGGCATTAATTCCAAAATCATTCTTCCATACTTGCATCCTCACACCATAAAATGTCAAAACAGAAACCACCCATGTTAATGTCAACACTACTGGGACCTATACCAACAAAAGTGCTGCAAGAATAACATGACAATTCCAAGTACCCTGGAATTTAATGATGCTATCAGAAAACTGTTTCATTTCTATAATGCACAAACAACAAAGATTTATTTAAGTGTCAGAACCTTTTTCTTTGGTTCACAGTTAATATTTCATTAGATATTAAAACACTACTTTCTTTTGGTAAATAATAATTATAATTAAAGCCTTCTAAAGGAAAAGATATAAACACAACTTTCTAAAATAAAAATGGCATTAGAAAGTTTGCCTTATTGAATTAAAACATTTACTTTAATAAATCAATCATCAAGGATCAAGAGTAGGACATGGTAAAATTAAAACAAAAGTCATGTGCTTTCTATTTTAAAATTATAAAAACTTTTTAAAAGTTCCTATTTTATGTAATAAAGACACACTTGATAAATATTGATTTTCTGGCCATTTTATGTCAATAAAACTTTTCTTTCTAATAGAACAACAGACTTAAAATATTCTATTTCAGTGATAATGATATCACAACAATCAGCTTTCAGTATGTCACTAATGGCTACCATATTGAAGAAACTTCAGGAAACATTTTAGCATATGAAAGCCATAGATCATAGTTTATTGCATTTAAATTCATCATCATCATCATCTACTGTGTGTCATGTAATACATACTTTATTATTTCTAATTCTATTATCAACCAAGTTTGGGAATTAACATCTTCAACTTTACGGATATTGAAATTGAAGCTTAAACAGATTAACTTGTGCAAAGTCACAGAAGTACAGAAGAGCTAGAATTTAAGCCTGCATCTACCTAATTCAAAAGCCATGCTTTCACCAAAATAAAGTGAATTCTTCCAGAATCACTCCTAGACTGCCGCTTTAAAATATTTTCATTCTTAGATGCAATTCCCTTAAATAAGATACCATAATGGTCATGCATAAGTAAGAAGGGTATAAAGTTTTCAAAGATAAAAGAAATGAAGTCACAAATGGAATTAAATTTAAAGGGAAGTAAGTTGGTTTCCTAAGTGTATTTATTTTTGTGAATGAAAAATTTATTTAAAAATCAATGATATTGGGACACCTGGGTGGCTCAGTTGGTTAAGTGTCTGCCTTCGACTCAGGTCATGATCACAGGGTCCTGGGATCAACCTCTGCATCGGGCTCCCTGCTCAGTGGGGAGTCTACTTCTTCCTCTCCCTCTGCCCCTCCCCCCACTCATGCTCTCTTTCTCTCAAATAAATAAAATCTTTAAAAAAAATCAGTAATATTAGAAAGTAAGAGTTATAATAGTTTTATATTATGTGCTATCCTACATTACAGTTTCAAAGCAGGATACATAGTATTTTTATTCTGCTGCTGTTTTAGTTTTATATTACGGAAATTATCAACCAAAAAAGTTTATTTTTTCAGTGAAAGTTAATTATATCATAAAAATGATTATTGTTTATAAATAAATGAAATTATATCA